TTCAGAAGAGGCAGCTGTTGCTTTAAGATAAACGTTTTGCTTTTGGAGGAACTTAACCCTGCAAGGCCTGATATAGCAAATAATTAAAAAATATTTTTTTGAGCCTAAGGCAAAACATACCGGAAAAAAGTTTGCATATCTGTTATGTTTTGTATCATTCATATATGATTCACCAGGCTTTAATGTCCTATAGCGAATATAGAGCTCACAATCAAGGACTAAAATTATGCAATTTGGTGCATTTGCTGATTTTTATATGTCCAAGATGAAATTCTGAGAGTTTATAATGTAAATCAATGAGATCTTTATTCAATTCAATTTAATTCACATTTATTTGTATAGCGCTTTTCACAATACACATCATTTCAAAGCAGCTTTAAAGAAAATGTAAAGAAAATTATAACAGTATAGTTATTATATATATATATATATATATATATATATATATATTACTTGAATAAAGTGCATATAAATATAATTTGTCACTGCATATCTCCCAATAATATGTCTTAGTAAGATGATATTTGAATGCTTAGTTTTATGATTAAAGCTCTATAGTCTTAATTGTGAGGGTAAAATATATAATGTAATTGCAATAAAAATGATGATTGAATGATGAACAAATAAATGTTACTCAAAAGCCTGTTGGATCATATTTGATAATAAAAGATAAATTATGGATAATCAAGTTGCTTCAGTCCGGGAAGTGTTCATATTGAAATGCTACTAACAAAATAAAAGTTATTTTTGTGTTTATAGAAATCATTAAAGATTTCACAGCAAAAAGACACAACTTAAAGATGGACATTTTACAATGATACTAAAAGGTCTTAAAAAATAAAACGTATAAACTATTAATAAGATGACAGAGTGTATGTTCAGATGACAGAAGGCTTTTCAGCAAAGTTTTGATCATTTGAATGTAATATTTATGTATCAAATATGCAAATTAATTTGCATATCAAATTTGATACAGTATAGGGTTCAGACAAAAGCAGGAGAAACGCAACAGAAACATGCAGATGTGAAGTCTGGTTGGTTGGCGATGTGAAATGAGCTGAGCCATATGCCAGTAAGAGATAAAACTCTGTCCAAGCCGAAGCGGCATCACTGCGATAGTTTTATTAGGACTAAAGCTCATTACTTATATGGCGTGGATCACTGTCAGTACATTTGCTTTATTAATGTCTGTGATCCTGCCCCAAAACAACAAAATAAACACGGATTCTGATTTCTCAACATTGTCACGTTTACACCAGTTTGGTTTTTACTATATTGGCATTAAAATGATTTGAAATTTAATCTCTACTCTTTGACTTATTATGTCCCTGATATTATAATGTTAGAAAGTTCAAAACGAGAAACTGTGCAATTGTGATCTTAAGGAGGCACTAGCTTATCTGACCTCCTTTTGTTGGTGTAACCTGAAGCACATTTGGCTGCATGATTTTTTCCTTTAAAACGCCAAATTGTGTGCGCTGATGCTTTATATAAATGCAAACTGTTTTTACAGATGAATTTCAGACACAGAACAATCCTAATATCTGGGTTTGTAGGGGACGGCTGGGATTGAGCTTTTCAGGTTAAGCAGAGGCCATGTTTTTAATTAGAGATATGGACATTTCTGTGTAATTCAGTCGAAATTTGTGACGCACACGTGAAGGTTTTCCAAAGAAAATTCACTGACCATTAATGAGAGTTTGCCGGACGTCCCGTGAAGCCGTGGATAAAGCAATCATGCAAAAAGAGGACACTTTAATCACATGACCAGACAAAACAAACCAGAGGGATGATGACAGCAGACCGTGAACCACACATTCATTTAAATGAACACACACTATTGCTAAAAAAAAAAAAAGAACTGCAAAAAAACCTAAGCCTGAACTAAAATATATTTTAATGTTGCTGAAATGAGCACAGAAATAAAATAAAAATGACCACAAATTAATTTGACTACAAATCAAAAATACAAAAAAATCATACAAAAATCTAAATATATAAATAATATATAAAATGTCTAGTAAATAATTGTATTTTATTTATAAAACATGTAAAAATATACTGAAAATATAAAACTAAACGGAAAGTAGAAAGACATCTTACTTCAAATTATAATACTAAAAATAAGAATATTAATAAGAAAAAATATATATATATATTATATAAATGATCTAATATATAAAAAAATACATAAAAGTATACAAAAAATCTAAAGCTAAAAATACAAAAACACTTGACTGCAAATGAATAATACTAAAAATAAGAATATTAGTAAAAAATAAAATATCTAATTTATAAAAAAGTAAAAAATATACTCAAACTAGAAAAACATTTGACTACTAAATAAGAATATTATTAATAATAAAATCATATAAAAATATAAAATAATAAATAAAAATATACTGAAAATATAAAGCTAAACTGAAAGTACAAAAACATATATATAATATTTAAATTAATATATAAAAATATGCTGAAAATCTAAAACTCAAAATAGAAAAACACTTGACAACAAATTAATAATACTAAAAATATAAATATTGGCAAAAAATATAATATAAATAATCAGAATATCTAATATATAAAGAAGTAAAAATATGCTGAAAATCTAAAACTAACTCAAACTAGAAAAAATATATATATATAAAAAATAAATAAGAATATACAGAAAATATAAAACTACAATCAATCTAAAAAACCTATTCAAACAATATGAAAACTAATTGAAATGCGAAATTAAAACACTACAATAAATGTAAAAACTATAATAACCTAAAAATGCCATGTGACAGCCAGCTTCATATTAACGCTAATGCCAACCCGTCACGTTAGCCCTTCACACAAACTTAATCACACACACATGGCATGAGGCTTTACCATGTCAGACACAAAATGGGGTCAGCGGACGCTCTCCTCCTCACTTTAGCAGAGACCAGGTCTAGACCAGAGTCTGAATCAGAGGACACTGATCATCTCCTAAACTACATTCAGATGGGAAGTGACCCAATCTAGTAATACAAGGATTCAGAGAATCCCCTAAACTGACACACTTTCATTTTCTGCTGTCAGTGAAAAGTTAATAGCCTGGATGCCAGCCCGAACCCCGCCCACATCATTTTTTGGTCGGGAAGTTCGGTCTGGACTCGATCCATTGAGGAGTAATTATGATCGGTTCAGAATTAGTCGGGCCAATCAAATTGCCAGGGCGGGCTTTATACGATGATGGACAGATGATCTGCAGGGACGTAATCATCACGTTATCAAAGAGCGCTTGGGTTGAACTGGTTTCCCTCAGAGATCACTGCAGCTGGAGAACTGAGATGTAGAGATCCCACTATCGCGTCTGTTGTAAAAGAAATCGACAGCGCATTAATCTTAAAAGACGAACAGAGAACTGCAATTAAGGCATTTGTCGATCGGAACGATGTGTTTGCCGTCCTTCCTACGGGATTCGGCAAAAGTTGATTTTATCAGCTGGCTCCGATGGTCGCTAAGAAGATGGGACGCAATGAAAACCCTGTGGTCGTTGTGGTTTCTCCTTTGGTCGCACTCATGGAGGACCAAGTAAAAGAAGCAACACTCATTATTTTACTACTTCTTCCAGCGTGCGTGCAGTTGAGTTCTGTTGACAACTTTGCGTAGCTCATAAAAAAAAACATTTACTGCGTAGGGGTGGGAATCTTTGGTCACCTCACGATCCGATCCGATTCCGATTCTGGGGGTCACGATCCGATTCCAGAACGATTCTTTATGTACCCCCCCCCCCCCCCCCCCCCTTATTAATTCATTAGTTTACATAAGTAATTAAGTACTTTTTAAAAAATAATTACAAATTAATTTGTTTTTGTTAAAACAGTTGTATGTTAAGAATTTTAAACTAATATGACAAATAATAAAGAGGAGCATAGAAAAATATAACAAACAACAAACAAAAAGTGCTTTCAGTAGCCTATAGATTATCTGAACGTTTTCCATTCAAGAACTGTGAGTGATTTTTCTTCATCTTTACTATTGTTTTTTACTATGACATCATAGACTGCGGGAGATCTATTAAGCTGCATTCACGCTCGCATCTCTTTTGAAATAAAAGAAGTAATGCGGTGTGTCCTGTCCGTTTAATCCCTTAAGACATAACTGGCTGTGTTTACATTAATTTTGCACAAGTAGCCTACATTAAACCACTACACGTAGTCGCACAGCCGCATGCGCGAGCAGTCTCACAAACAAAGCGCGCGTCAGCATTTGAAATTGAAAGCAGCCTTCTGTTAGTGAGGTTCATATTTTAAATAAATAAGTCCACTGCATTCCAAACCACATAAATGATGACTTCGTAGAGCATTTGTAAGGAAAATACCGACGGGCGAGACAGCACACTTCAAGTGTAACATCAAAGAAAGCGCGCGTCTCTCACAGCGTATCCTGTGCAATGAAGCCTGTGAATGTCCTTGTAATTCGCTTCAACCTTTCCGAACTTTATGAAAGATTATTTTACGGAAGGTTCGAGTGGTGTATGTGTGTGAGGAATTGGAAGCAAGCAGAATACGGGTGTTTCTAAACCAAACTCAACGTCATCGCACATCTGGTTAAAAACTAAGCTCAGAATCGATTCTGGAATTCTCAGAATCGATCCAGAATCGTTGGAGAGAGAATCGCGATGCATCGATGGATCGATTTTTTCTCCCACCCCTATTACTGCGTTGCTCTGGTTGGTTGTAGGTCTATCCATTTGACTGCAGAGTTGTTGTTTTTTTCCTGGTTCGGTTAAGACACGCCTCATAATCAAAGCCCTATGGAGCAATATTAGACTCATATTCTGACTAGAATGTGAGTATGACGAAGTCAGGCTAAAATGTTAATATGATATTCCACAATTAGTTTATTCTTCAAATATCAACATCGAATCCGTCGGGGTCAGTTCAAGGATGCCTTTGTTTCAGTTTTTAAGCCATAATATAAAGTCTTCAATTGTGTTTTCACTCTCGCTGCCTTATTTCTATAAGTTCCATCTCAACCCCCACCTTAAGCCCCACTGCAACCTCCACCTCAAGTCCCATTGAAACCTCCACCTCAAGCCCCACTGCAACCCCCACCTTAAGCGCCATTGCAACCTTCACCTCAACCCCCACTGAAACCTCCACCTCAAGCCCCACTGCAACCTCCACCTCAAGCCCCACTGCAACCTCCACCTTAAGCCCCACTGCAACCTCCACCTTAAGCCCCACTGCAACCTCAACCTCAAGCCCCACTGCAACCTCCACCTTAAGCTCCACTGCAACCTCCACCTTAAGCTCCACTGCAACCTCCACCTCAAGCCAACCTGCAACCTCCACCTCAAGCTCCACTGCAACCTCCACCTCAAGCCCCACTGCAACCTCCACCTTAAGCTCCACTGCAACCTCCACCTCAAGCCCCACTGCAACCTCCACCTCAAGCCCCACTGCAACCTCCACCTCAAGCTCCACTGCAACCTCCACCTTAAGCCCCACTGCAACCTCCACCTCAAGCCCCACTGCAACCTCCACCTCAAGCCCCACTGCAACCTCCACACTGTAAACCCTAACGCTCAAAATACTTAATTGGTTTGAGTAGGAAAAACTTAAATTAAACTAATTAGTTCAGTCAAATTAACTTTTATGAGTATTTAGCACTTTCTTTTTCTTTCAAGTTCACAGAATGGATATATTTTAAGTAAACTGAACTGTTTCATTGTTTTGAGTTTTATGAAATTATTTCTTTTAATTTAGACGAACTTAAGTTTAACTGAAACGGCTGGGATGTATATTTCCCAGCATGCTTTGCCGATGGCACTCGAAAGGGAGAGTAAATGCTAAAATTAAGTGTAATACAATGTTTTTTTTGTGCAAGATTAATGTTAAGCGGGTGATTTAGTAATGATTAATGTTTCGTTATGCTAATTTAGAAGAATTTCTGTTAATGTTGGTTTTAGGATAGTTACCATCATGGTGACAAGTGGTGCATGAGCTTGATTTGAGAGCAAATAAAACCTTTATATTGCTGCAAGTGTTAATGTGCCTACTATTGTTAAGAAGTTAACAAAATAGTATGTTAGCAAACTAGCTTGTTAAAGCTAGCTAAGTTTATACTAATAAAAGTGTTCACATTGAGATTACATGAAATTTTAAGTTAAATGTATGAATTAGTGTACTCAAACATTTCAAGTTAAGAACAATTCAAATGTACAAATACAAAATAAAAATATGTCAGTTCTGCTTACTTAAACTTTGAATTTCTTAACTTAAAAAATTTGAGGCAATTTATTGCCTTAAATTTTTTGAGTTGTGCCAACTTATTCGGGTTTACAGTGCACCTCAAGCCCCACTGCAACCTCCACCTTAAGCCCCACTGCAACCTCCACCTCAAGCCCCACTGAAACCTCCACCTCAAGCCCCACTGCAACCTCCACCTCAAGCCCCACTGCAACCTCCACCTTAAGCTCCACTGCAACCTCCACCTCAAGCCCCACTGCAACCTCCACCTCAAACCCCACTGCAACCTCCACCTCAAGCCCCACTGCAACCTCCACCTCAAGCCCCACTGCAACCTCCACCTCAAGCCCCACTGCAACCTCCACCTTAAGCTCCACTGCAACCTCCACCTCAAGCCCCACTGCAACCTCCACCTCAAGCCCCACTGCAACCTCCACCTCAAGCTCCACTGCAACCTCCACCTTAAGCCCCACTGCAACCTCCACCTCAAGCCCCACTGCAACCTCCACCTCAAGCCCCACTGCAACCTCCACCTCAAGCCCCACTGCAACCTCCACCTCAAACCCCACTGCAACCTCCATCTCAAGCCCCACTGCAACCTCCACCTCAAGCCCCACTGCAACCTCCACCTCAAGCCCCACTGCAACCTCCACCTCAAGCCCCACTGCAACCTCCACCTCAACCCCCACTGCAACCTCCACCTCAAGCCCCACTGCAACCTCCACCTCAAGCCCCACTGCAACCTCCACCTCAAGCCCCACTGCAACCTCCACCTCAAGCCCCACTGCAACCTCCACCTCAACCCCCACTGCAACCTCCACCTCAAGCCCCACTGCAACCTCCACCTCAAGCCCCACTGCAACCTCCACCTTAAGCTCCACTGCAACCTCCACCTCAAGCCCCACTGCAACCTCCATCTCAAGCCCCACTGCAACCTCCACCTCAAGCCCCACTGCAACCTCCACCTCAAGCCCCACTGCAACCTCCACCTCAAGCCCCACTGCAACCTCCACCTCAAGCCCCACTGCAACCTCCACCTCAAGCCCCACTGCAACCTCCACCTCAAGCCCCACTGCAACCTCCACCTCAAGCCCCACTGCAACCTCCACCTCAAGCCCCACTGCAACCTCCACCTCAAGCCCCACTGCAACCTTTACCTCAACCCCCACTGCAACCTCCACTTCAAACCCCACAGTAACCTCCATCACAACATCCACTCACCACCAGGAAAATAAAATGAACAAATAGTAATTTATGAATGGTTAAAGGGCTCATGTCATACATTGTATTGTATTTTTTCCCTGACATCAACTTAATGTTAGTAAACTGTTCTTGTTTGTTTTGGGTTTTTCTCTCACATAATTATACAGTTTGTTCAAATCTTCTGAATGTATAATGGGTTGCTTCATGTTTCATTCCATTTCAATAAATGCAAAGCAACATCAAAACATTTGCCTTTTTCTATAAAAGAATAAAACTTTCACAATTGATAACAATAAAATGAAACAAAATCCCATATCTGCACAACATGAGGAGGGTGGGTCTAATAGTGCATAGATTCACATCACCTCAAGTCACCTCACATCATGTAGTCAGTAAAATCTGTGTTCATGCAGAATTCTTGATTTATAAATAAATGTCTTCTAAATCTTCTAAATGTAGGTTACAATAAAATAGAATCATCTGTACGCAAAAGAAAAACATTGATGAGCTACTTTTCAACATAAAATTGGAGAAAGTGACTCGACTAAACTATTAAGGCTATAAGAAACAATTAATTACATAACAAAATGCAGCCTGTATATCTGTATGCAAATACCAGACAAACGAGAGGTCCAATACAGGATTGCATATAGTCTAGGGCTATATAAAACTGTTTCTTGAGTTTTACACTTTACGTGACAGGAAGATCTTAATGTGCATGCTCGGATGGAAAGCCTGCACGTGTGTACTATGTACTATAACGTGTACTAATTTTAATCCCAACGTATTTGACCTGAAATGCATTGCCACAATTTCCACCCTGCATGGTATTAACTAGCCTAGCCTTTTTGATCCAGAACAAAGCAAAATCGTGCTTGCATCATTCTGTTCGGGTTTTTGTATCAAAGTGGACCCATGAAGACCTCTAATATAGGCCTATGTTTCCTACGTGATAAACTCAGTTCTCCTCCCAGCATTGTCCCGTGTACCAGTCAGTCTGTCCAGATCTTTTTATGCTGTAGTCTAGAGGCATCACATAACCTGTACATGACATTAGATCCATTCTGAGACAAAAAAAACTTTTTCTGATGTTACCATCTGCACAAAAAACTTCATTGTCTTGTTTCATTTCTTGAATCTGTGTACTGAAACCAAACCGTAACACTACATACAGAACATAAAGTGCCATAAAACGCCTACACACTGACACACAACCCTTCAAAATCTTACTTCACAAGCCACTGACGCATTTGAGGTGTAATAGACGGACCATCTCAGGGGAACATGTGGGGCTATATCTACACATTTGGCTCATCCTCTACTTGCAAATACTCCCAGTAAGAAAAACACAGAGAGATCATGAGTATCCATCCAGGCATGAAGATGTTGGCAGCTGTGGTTGTTTTATTCCTGGCGGTCGGCATGAGTGACAGCGTGATTCTGAATAAATGTGAGCTGAAGCAGCAGCTTCAGACCGGGCTTACACTGCCTCCGAATATGACCGACGTGCTGGCACAGAGTAAGTCTCCATCTCTAAATCCAGAGCTTAATATCTGACTTGAGATACCGAACACAGATGCTTCTGTGTGTATTAATATAGTTACTGTTTCACGGTTTGCAGGTGAGCTGAGCATATAGATTTTTTGGTCACTTATATGGAAGTGGTGGTGATATTCTTCAAAAATTACCTTTCAGGTTTCACCAAATAAAGGTATTTATATATAAATAAAAGTCTGTCTGTCTGTCTGTGTGTGTGTGTGTGTGTGTGTGTGTGTGTGTGTGTGTGTGTGTGTGTGTGTGTGTGTGTGTGTGTGTGTGTGTGTGTGTGTGTGTGTGTGTGTGTGTGTGTGTGTGTGTGTGTGTGTGTGTGTGAGTTAGATTAAATGATCAAAATAATAACGAATGTAAATTTTAAAGCAAGCACACACATATGCACAAAATATATATTAATAAAATGTACAAAAAAAAATAACTGGATAGAGAAGAGACTTGTGATCATTTTAATAGATAATCAAAAGAATTAATGCATTAAATAAGCATTTAATTATTTATTTAAATTACACATATATATAATTTTTATCTTTTTATCAGATTATTTTCAAATGCTACAGTTAAAAAGTATTTGATCTGTATTTGTGGCCATCTAAAATTATCAGATCTCCTTCTCATTTGCTTTATTTCATGTGATTTCTCTCTGTTAATTAAAATTCAGTAGAGCTTTATTTTCTCTCTTTCAATCAGGATAAACATTCACAAAACAGCTGTTAGACTGGACATCTGTCTCAACAACGTGTGTGTGTGTGTGTGTGTGTGTGTGTGTGTGTTTAGTGTTTACCTAGTTATACTTATGGAAAGTGAGGTCAATTTATGTGAGGATTGTTTTAAGTTCACTTAAAATAAAAGGTATTATATTTTTGAACCCTAATAAATGTTTTTTAAAAAGTATAGCTTTCAATACACTGTAATGTTGAATGGCTATAACTAATGTTTAAAATGGGGGGGGGGGGGTCCTTGAGACATCAGTAGCTTTATTAGTATCAGTGATACTGGCCTTCATTCATAAAAAGATCTACTGTCTTTATGTTGTTTCTACATTTATTTGGAGATTAACTGAAATTATTAAAGTATAAAAATATATTTTATTCTTGTTGTTTTTAAATTGCGATTAATCACAGAAATTGTTTTGTGATTAATCTACAGTAGTTAGTTTTTTTATTCGATTGACAGCACTAAAATCTATTTAGA